AGGATTAAGAGTCGAGAACTGTACAACGAATCGTCTTCTTTCTCTAATGATTTAATGAATCGTAAAAGCTTCCGCGCTTCGCGCGGGAGGGGGAAAACTGAATTCAGATGAGGATTAAGAGTCGAGAAATGTGCAACGAATCGTCTTGTTTCTCTAATGATTTAATGAATCGTAAAAGCTTCCGCGCTTCGCGCGGGAGGGGGAAAACTGAATTCAGACAAGGATTAAGAGTCGAGAAATGTACAACGAATCGTCTCGTTTCTCTAATGATTTAATGAAACGTAAAAGCTTCCGCGCTTCGCGCGGGAGGGGGAACCTGTATTCAGACGAGGATTAAGAGTCGAGAACTGTACAACGAATCGTCTTGTTTCTCTAATTATTTAATGAAACGTAAAAGTTTCCACGCTTCGCGCGGGAGGGGTGAAGCTGAATTTAGACGAGGATTATTTTCGAGAACGGTACTATGAATCGTCTTCTTTCTCTAATAATGTAATTAAACGTCAAAGCTATCGCGTTTCGAGGAGGAGGGAGGGGGAACTCGCCCCTCCCTGCACCCACCCCCCCCCCGCATTACGTCACTGCTGGTCACCATTACGTTCCAATCTTTGGCTCGCATAATTTCAAATTCGGGCCCCCCCCCCTAAGAAATCCTGGATCCGCGCCTGCTCATTTGAGTATCACCACATTGACTTAAAACCACATTTCTCCAAAAAAAACTTCACAAACCATTTCCCCATACTTAGAGTAAACGAGTGTTAATCTTTTTCAATCAGTTAAATTGATGTTTGGATCATCTTTATATTTAACCTTTTCCTGTTTTGCAACCTACCAAATATCCAACCTTAATTAAAAGCAAGTTATTCTAAAAGAAAGCAGCAATATCAGAAAACCGGATCATTGGTGAAAGTTTGTACGATATCAGACAAGAAATTCTTGAAGTTCAAACATTTGTAATCACCATAATTATGTAATCACTACATGGGTATTTCGAATTTGTGGAATTTGTAATGATAATGTGACGTAGTGCTGGACAACTTTCCCATTTGTGCGGACACTTTTTTTTCTTTTTTTTTGGTCTCGAAATTTGAAAATTTGACATTTTTTTCGTTGGGGGGGGGGGGGGGGGTAAGGTCACTTACGTACGTTAGCCGTGGGCATAATTTTTTTTTTTTTAATTTTTTTTTTTGTTATTTAAAACAAAAAACAAAAAACAAAAAAACAAAATACCAAAGGGGGGTTTGAACCCCCCCCCCCCTGCGTACGCCCCTGCATACAATGTGGTTTGCTATGAGGGCCAGACAGTCATGAGGAAAACATGTACCATCACCAGGAAAACGACTGTAGAACCGGAATAGAATACTATGCAAGGATATCATAAACAACATTTAGGAAACTGCTTCTGCTTTTACATATTTACATTTCTTTTTAAATTGCACATTGATTAGAAGAGTAACTATGCTTTTCGATCTTGGCTTAAATCATATTATTATATTCATTCCTAAATATCTTAAAACTTTTAAATAGTGATTTAATAAAAGAAAAGAAAAGAGCAATATTGACATTTCCACAATGATGAGAGAGAAATACAGAAATTTTGCAAAACATGGTAGTCATCTATTCTATGAGGAAACTTCATGAGCATAGTTAAGGGCCAAACCCCCAACCCCCAACCCCCCCCCCCCCCCCCTGCGTACGCCCCTGCATACAATGTGGTTTGCTATGAGGGCCAGACAGTCATGAGGAAAACATGTACCATCACCAGGAAAACGACTGTAGAACCGGAATAGAATACTATGCAAGGATATCATAAACAACATTTAGGAAACTGCTTCTGCTTTTACATATTTACATTTCTTTTTAAATTGCACATTGATTAGAAGAGTAACTATGCTTTTCGATCTTGGCTTAAATCATATTATTATATTCATTCCTAAATATCTTAAAACTTTTAAATAGTGATTTAATAAAAGAAAAGAAAAGAGCAATATTGACATTTCCACAATGATGAGAGAGAAATACAGAAATTTTGCAAAACATGGTAGTCATCTACTCTATGAGGAAACTGCATGAGCATAGTTAAGGGCGTAGGATTTTCCGATAGGGGGAGGGGGGGGGGGCGGGTGGATATTAGAAAATCGATCGCGCCGACAAATATGTCGGATATTAGTAAGGACACTCCCCCCCCCCCCCCCCCTTGAGCAAAGAATTTTTTTTTTTACTTTCTTTTCTTTTTTGCCAGGGGAGATACAAAACAGATAAAGGGTGTCTTTTGTGTGTCTATACCCAAAACACTCCCCTCGACACGCCCTTGCATGGGGATAATATTTGCAGCATAACTTTCACTTTGCATTAATTCAGCTGTTCATATTAAAGACCTTTGATACAGGCTAAGCCAGAGATATATAGTTCCTCTTACTCGCGGTTTTCTTTTTTTAAATCCCCGTATACAATCCCTCTCATCCTTTAATATTGTGTTAATGGCACGAGTCTATTAAACCAAGCCAACCTTCATGGATTTTATTACATCATTGACATGACTCCGCTCGTCAATGATTTGTTGCACGTACAATGTTTTACATGAAACCAAGCATACGTGATGAAGCAACTTAGTTAAAGGTAATACAAAGTTTTGGTATGGGGCCATGAATTTGGTTCGAATGAACATATCGGAAGCATATGCGATCCTACAATATGCAGTGATCGTTGTCGCGGTTGAAATCGAGTCTAAAGTTATGAAATTGTAAATAATAAACTCTTTATGTTGTATAGCTCCCTCTCAAGGTTAAAATATTAATTAAGCCATAAAACATTGTTTCTTGACTTAAATCAACCGATTGGCTATTCCCATTTGGAAATTATATATTACAACTACATATTCTGAGATTTTCATGGTCGCAGCTACCATAGTATGGCCGTAAGCGCTATTTGAAATTTATCAAAATTTACCGGGAGCACCGGTAAATTTCAATATTCAATTTTTCTCGAAAGCAGAAGTGTTTTAGGAGCTGAATTTTCTAGTGCTTATAATACATCCACGTGGGCATCCAAATATATAAAAATTGTGAAGAATCACTATCCAGCTAATTTTCAAAATTTCCCAAAACTTTGTATTACCTTTAAGCACTTATAAAGACAAGTATTATGAATAATTGGCGTAGATGATCTGGGGACATGTAGCTACGTACACCCCCCCCCCCCCCATTCTCCGTCATCGCGTTGCTTTAAAAACACAAAATGAGAGAGAAAGAAGGTAGAAGGGGAGAAGAACTCAACTTTACTTACTCGGTGTTTGCTTGTTTGTTTGTTGTTGTTGTTGTTGTTGTTGTTGTTGTTGTTGTTTTTTGGGGGGTGTGCATTTTCTCCACCCACGCAGTAACACCGGTGCCCCCTTCCTCCATATCAAGTCATTACCCCCTTCACTTCCTGGCCATGGACCTCCATTGTATAAGCTACTGTCATATGACCAAGTCGGGTCCGAGTGCCTAATTTGAGTAAAAATTGAAAGGCCAACTTCTAAGTCACAACTACAATAAATACGATAACAATTATACATTCTCCAGTCTTAATTGTAATTCTATCAGCTCGATTCTAACCCCCTTCTCTTTATATATATATATATATATATATATATATATATATATATATATATATATATATATCTCTTCCCTTCCTCCCTCTCTCTCTCTTTCTCCCCTCCCTCTCCCTCTCTCTCTCTCTCTCTATATATATATCTCTCCCCCTCCCTCCTTTCCTCTATCTCGACCTCTATCTTCCTTCCTCCCTTCTTTCCTCTCTATCTCACTACCTCTCTCTCCCTCCCCCTCTCTCTATCTCCCTCCCTTTCGCTGCTATGTGATATACGTACACACGACAAATAATTTCAACCTCAATATATACACAAAACTAAATGTAATTAGGACAACATGTACTTGACATAAAGGAAATGATACTTAAACCCTGTATTAGTTCAGGCCTACCGTTTCCATTCCACCTGCTGCATGATTGTGTAGACCTTGACATTGCAAGCTAAGTTTGTATGATTGCATGTACATTGCAAGCTAAGTTTGTATGATTGCATGTACATTGCCAAGATTACATTTCAGTCTGAGCTAATTGTTTTCAATGATATTTACTCGGGTTACAAAAATTGCTATACCTCACCATTTTATTGTTACCATTTCTGTAAAGTTACATGGATCGTAAAGGAGACCTTCGGGTTACAGTTATTCAGTTAATATTTTTCTTTTCCCGGCACTCATGTACTCTTTTTTTTTGTATTCAATGATTTTCTTTGTTTTTGCCGAATAAATAATAATAATAATACCATTTCCTATTTTTCAAAAACCTGTCTTGTTTGTTACAAAGGTGTCATGGTCTAGTGGATATGTCACCGGATTGTGGATCACAGTTCAAATCCTGCCATGGCACTAATGTCCTGCATTAATCTACATTTGCCACTCTCCACCCAGGTAAAGTAAATGGGCACCCGGTAGGAATAAATTCCTTGAATGCTGTAGCACCTTCTTATGGTGGCTCAGGGTAATAATGTGATACTTTGTATTAAGTGCAGTAGAGTATATTCATATATTAGCTACATGTATATAAATGGATATTTTATTATTACAATTGTTATTAAGTTTTCAACTGAACATGTTGGCATGGTCTAGGGAGTGGCTTAGAAAGTAGGAACACACATCCCTGAATAAACATCACTATAACATATTCAATATGAATTGTCAATGTCTATGAGGTAAAGCTTTGCTTTAGATAAGGAAAATAAACACTAAAGTCAAAACTACAAGAGGAATTTCACAGAAATAATACTATCATCACGACCCATAAAGTCTTGGTTCCATTATCCTTAGGTTTCATTTTCAAACCAATATCTGATAGATGTTGCACTTTTTTTTAAAGTAATAAATTGTCTTATTCTCACAGTAAAATTCAAAATGTCTTCATATATTCACAGCACTCAGAAGAAACAAAGGTTCAGACTCTGATCATGAGTATCACATGAATTTAATTCATCACATAATCTTGTATTCTTTAACAGGCACTTGTACATTAACACTATTGCTTCATAAATATTTAAAAAATAGTGGTAGTGAAACAATCATTTACATATAACTGTCATGAGTCACCTATTAACATTTTAAAATCCGTATTTATTTTTTAATGAAGCTGTGGTTTTGGAATCTAGGCTATCCTTCCGTTCTGCCATTATCGTATTGTTCAATGACCTCCCTTTAATGATTGTATAACCTAGTTTGGCTAACACAATTCTTTGTAATGTTTACCTTCATTAAAAGTAATGTTCTCCAAAGCTAAACATGGTGACACGTGGTGAACTGGTAGAATTAAATGTGTATATCAATGTTTACTGTTTTTATCATACCTACACATTGCAAAGCATATTGAAGTACCCACTTAATGTGCTATATAAATTTTAATTATTATCATCAATATTACAAAAATATATTCAAGCATGTACAATCTAAAATCTCATTAATCAATTACCTGCATAAATTAAAATGTAAAATCCTTTGCTCATGAATTTTCCTGTTTCAATTGTTATTGTTTTCTTCTTCTCTCTCTCTCTCTCTCTCTCTCTCTCTTACATACATGTACATGATATGTATCTCAGTCTATCTGGCCAAAACAGAGATATTTTTCTAATACATAAAGAAATAAAATAAAATTTCACAACTGAGAAATCAGAGCTGCATGTGATGTCATAAAACTCACAATAGAAAGTTTCTATTACATTTGCATAATATAAAGGTTACATGATCACAATTAAAACATGTCTTTAAGATTTCTTTATAAAATTCACAAGAATATATCTCCCAATGAAAAAAAAATGTAAAGAAAGAGAGGATCTCTATTTGCACACAGAATGACATTTGTCAGTTATAGGAATACTTTAAGCAGCATACCATACAGAATTCTCCACTAAAAAAAAATAATACAGATTAAATATTAAAAAAAACTATGTCATTCAAATGATGACATCAACATTTGAATGCATTCATTTTGAATTCTTTGTCTGACATATACCTCTTTTTAAAATCCATACAGTGGAATTAATTTCAGTTTAAATCCTTACCTTGAAAGCACATTCTTCACTTTCGATGTTGCACTCCAGTCAGTTGCCATTCAATAGGCATACATAAGGTGCTTTTTATGTAATTTCATCTTCTGCACCCTGAGCAATCGATTCGATTTCAAGTGAATTTGGCATTTTACACATGATATTTCATTATTATTATTAAAAGAGATAATGACGTAGACATCATCTCAAGTACTTAAATACTTATATATTTGAAGCAATAATTAATCATATATTTTAAACAAAAAATAATTAGTTATATGTGTTGAACAATATAACAACAAATGATTTTTTTTCTTAAATAACAAAAATGCAGTTCAATGACTTAAAACAATGATCCTCATACTTCCAAATCTTGTGACACCACTCTACCAAAAACCCTCCATAATACCAGATTTGTATCTGCGTCTCCTTGAGGATGGAATTGATATCCTGTTATTCCCCCTCTGTTAAAAGTATGAAAGAGTTTGGCAACATAGGTGAATAGTCTCTACTTCTGAAGGTATTTCATCAAGAAGGTTTTCCTTTTTTCCTCGTAATTTGTTAAATTTTTTAAAAATCATGATATTTCTCTAGCACTTTGACATCATTCCCATTTCTTTTTATTATGAAAATGTGTTCCTAAAAGAGCCCTAAGAAGGCTCAAGGCAATGAATGAAGCCAAAAGGTGTAGTACTGTCTTGGCTTTTAAAACTAAATTGGTCCATCCAAACTTCTCAGCACAAGAAGAATGTTTTTTAAAGGATTATTAGTTGTAAGGCATTTTTATCTAAAAACCTCAAGTAATAAAGCCAGACATAGCATCCTTTTATATTCTGTTTTTGTTTGTTTTAGTAAGCCCTATCAGACACATTTGTATATATGTTATAGATCAAAATCGATTTGCATGGTTTCAAGCAGCACTGTAGCACTTTGTCCACCAAAGTCGAGGGCCATCCGAGAGTATAATAAAGATGATTCAATGTCTTATGTAATCAGACAGGTGCATGGCCATCCCTGAACTACAGTGAGAATAAATTAACTATTATGTAGCATACCTGATGGCCTCCAGTAATGGTAGCTGACAATTTTATCTTCAGTTCTCCAAATTTGGTGTCTACAAAGCAAAGTATCTCATATGCAGGGAGTTTTTAAATAAAACAGTTTCCAGTTTTAGAGGACCTGAGGCTAGACTTGGCCTCAAGGCTGGGTACTCAGGACCTGGCCTGGGCCTCGCTCCTTACGATGCTGTGACTCAAACTCAGCCCTTCACAACACTGACACTGAATTACTAACAGCCAGGGCGGACAATCATATTGATCGAGTCAGTTCCATCATATTTGCTCCTTAAAATGTGTACAATATCCTGGGAGTGACCTCTCCATACACAAACACACTTCAGGCTGCAGAAACAGCAGGAATAGACTTTGTGATGACAGCTCTTTGAGAAGGGATTCTGTGAGGTAGCTCAGGGCAGTTGCAGTACTGTCTAACCTGGATGGCCTGTAGTAACATTCAACGATAACAACAATTATGCAATCATTGAAAGACATACGGAAACAGGGGAACTTGGAAAGCGCAGGTCTCAAATTCATTTCAATTCAATCAAGGTTTATTAAAGACATGAATTGCAGTCACAGACTGGTTTGTACATGCTTTCACAGTCAGGTAAAAAAAAATGCAAGTATAAAATAACAACATGAGATCAGGAAAAATGGAATTAAATATAATGTGTACAAGTATAATTTAAAATTTGATAGGTCTTTTCAAGAATACTAGGTAGTAAATTATATACAGAATTTGAAATGACTGATTGATATTGCCCCACTGTTAATTTTGTTTACAAGAGTCTGCACTGACTGGCTGTGATTGCCCCTCTCAAAATGATGGGACTTATAGGAAAACTTTAGGGACGCCATTTTGCAACCTCTCAATTTGTACTCTGACTGGTTAACTGGTCAACTTTTCAAAACTATAGGATATACATTTATGAAGAAATCAAAATATAATACATTTTATGTTTTGACTAGTTTATAAAATGTTCTATGTGGAACATTTTTTTTGGTTAACCCATGACCAAGAAAATTAGCTTATTGTAACAGTGGGTATAAAGTAAATACTCACTTAACTCCAGGAGTATGTGGGTATAAAGTAAATAATGACTTAACTCCAGGAGTATGTGGGTATAAAGTAAATACTGACTTAACTTGAGAAGTATGAGGTTCTATAGTAAATACTAACTCACTCTCGAAAGTATTGGGTTATATATGGTAAATATTAACTTACTTTAGGAAATTTTGGGTTCTATAGTAAAAACTGACTTACCTTGGGTAATAACGATTCTATATAATCAGCTCTTCTCTGATGGGAGGGGTGTGTACTAAGGAACTCTAGGGGTTCCGGCTCTCCAGTTGATATCTGGGCTACATCCATGGCTTCCCAGAATGCTTTGCATTCTCGTACATCAATACAGCTCTGAAAAATGAGAAATATTATTTCACTTCAAAATCTACTATTTCAACATTTTGAAAAGTGTTTTACACTACATTTACATTTAGTTGAACAATTAAATAAAGTTGAGTAAGGATATATAGTGGATAGATATAGACAGTAATTCAGAAAAGGAAAACATCCACACGTAGGTGCACATGACTGTTGACAAAAGTCATTAGTTATTAAAGGGATCTCTTATAAGAAATATGATTTTGTTTTCAATTAAAATACACCATCTATTCTACGGAAGATAGATGGGGGAGAAAGAGAGAGAGAGAGAGAGAGAGAGAGAGAGACTAATATCAACATATTTTTAATCACTGTTTCCATTGACTTCAGATCCTTACTACACTCCTTGGCCCGAATTCACAAAAGAGGTTTGTCGACAAACCTAGGTTTATGTGCGTCATATGACGCGTTTCTACTCGACCTTGGATTGAAATGCGTCATATGACGCACATAAACCTAGATTTGTCGACAAACCTCATTTGTGAATTCAGGCCCTTAAGTCTGACATTTGAATAATGTGAGAGATTCAATATGAACCAGTCATGACTAATAGGGAGTATATTTCCTTACCTTGGCAGCTAGCATTAAGCCCACCTCATCGGCCTCTGTCTCAAGACTTCTACTGTACGGCATGTGGAGTAACAACTGAAAATGAAAGAGAATATCAACTCATTACAACGGCCTTCGTCTCAAGACTTCTACTGTACGGCATGTGGAGTAACAACTGAAAATGAAAGAGAATATCCACTCATCATGATGTGATTCTAGTAAGCCAGGGTACGACATTCACAGCCTGCCCAGGATATATGGGCGTCCGACCCCATTGAACTGCAATATTGCCTGTTCAGAGCCACAGTGGCGTTAATACCGCATCTAGTCTGGCTGCCAAACTGACTCCAGAGTCCAGACCAACTTCAGACTGACTGACTCTCTTGAGGTATCACTGTCGTATATGAAACGTTACGGTTAGGTGCATGCATCTCCCTTATTATGCAACCAAAATTTGACCCAACCAATATTATTTTTTTTTAGTCCAATGCAAGGTGCACTTTCTTAAAAAACTAACACTGAAATTTCAGAGAGGAAATCAGTCTAGAAGTTGGTTAAAATTGATTATTAATCAACGCATTCATTATCAATGTTATGACCTTGAGGTCACTCTAAAACAAAGACATCAAAGATTTCATTACAAATTTCATAAATTACTTATTTTTTCACCTATTTCACCGTCTTGGCACCAAGTTGAAGAGCAGAAAAGGCTCTTTCATTTGATATGTATACTGCCATCTAGTGGTAGGTCTGAGAAATGCATCTCTTCTGTAAACACATTTGCTAGCTGCTATTACTAAAATTCATTGCCATTTATTCTGCAATTACTTCGTCATTTACCATTTTATTCATCATGGGTCGTGCTAAGAAGGGCTATGTGAGTAAGAAGAAGGTTTTTAGAGGAGTTTCAAGACATGACTTGAAGAAATTGAACATTCAAGCAGCTGCCAAGCTGTCAGAAGACACTGCTTCAAAGAGGAAGCTGATCCATTACAGTCCCACTCATAGGGTTTTGAGTGGGAGCATGGTGGGTCATCTCGTAATTCATGTTCTCCAGTTGAATGCAGCCCTGGAAGTTTTCAAAGACCATTTTTGTCAAGGAGGTAAGCTTTATTACTTGCTTTAGAATATTTATTAGTCATGCATGTGAAAGTGTTGACTGCATGACATGCATGTTCAGTTAGCGACCGTACATGTATGTAAACTAAGATTACAGTCGCACCCGACCGTCGGGACGGTATGCAATTGTATTGTGCTGCAGTTTGCCGTGAATCCTGTGAGCAAGTGCATATTAAAAGTCTTTGTTTTTAGGAAAAATACTCAAAAAAAGTTAAGAAAATTGACAGGTAACAAACATATCGACTTTTAAATCATGACCTTTATTTGGACATTTGATGAATATTTACTTCATTTTGGGTATGTTTTAGTAGGGCATCTCCACGCCTGAGTACAGGTCAAATTTTGGATAGACTTCTGAACTAGCGCCATGTTGACTTTACTATTACCCTGTAGGTTGATTGCTTTTTCAATTATAAACACAGGCGATTTTCTGTGCATTCATCATCATTCATGGAATCGTGCATCATGCATGATTACATTCTATGACTATGGAATCAGTTGGATGATTTGGATCTATGCCTACCAGTATATGGTGTTATACAAATGACAGTAGCTTTATAAGTTTATTGCCAATAAGAAATGTGGTGTGATATGTATATTGTGTGTGGACGTGATTATTTGTTTCAAAATCTTTCAGTTGCAGTTTTTACGGTGGCATGTCGTTACTGAGAGAATGAAATTACATGTACATGATGTATCATATAAAAACGTGATATCTACAAGATTATTTAGTGTATTGTAAAGTGATCTGTAAGTTTAATGAAGTTTTATTTCTCCCCTTTAAATTCAGGACACCTTCAGTTGTTAGAAGAGCACTCTAAACGTCGAGGCCTGTGTAGCTCTCTTCTTCTTCAGTGCACCGGATGCAAGATGGAGCATCGCTTCACATCTTCCCCCAATGCTGTGGCAGAGGGGGCAGGTCAATCCGCAGAAGTTAACAAAAGATCTGTTTTGGCAGCATGTGAAGTGGGCCTTGCCAGGGAAGCCCTAGCAGACTTCTGTGGATACATGGACCTGCCCCCTCCTGTGAATTCCAAGAGCTACCAGGACCACACATACCGTCTGCACCTGGAGACGGATGAGGTATGTACATGTACAATATCATGGTGGTCTTCAAATTGAAATAAATATCCAAAGAAACAAATTTGATAAACAGACTTGTGTACTTTTTGTGTACTGTGATATGAATAATTTGTTCTCCTCTCTTTGTTCTCCAAACCCACTGCAGGTCTGTGAGACACAGATGAAGGAAGCCGGTGAGCGAGTTCGGGAGGTGGTGCTGAAGGCCAACCCGCAGCTGAATTCGGATGACGTGCTGGACGTGGCAGTGTCGTACGATGGAACATGGCACAGAAGGGGTCATGTATCTAATCATGGGGTGGGGGTAGTAATGAGTATGGACACTGGGGAGGTTATTGATAGGGCAGTTCTTTCTAAAATATGTAAAGCATGTCAGTTGCGAAAAAGCTGGGATAGGGAGGGGGAGGAATACATAAAGTGGTGGGACGATCATAAACATAATTGTTTGGGAAATCATGTGGGGAGTAGTGGTAGCATGGAACCCAAAGCAGCTAAAATATTGTGGGGGAGATCTGTAGAAAAGCATAGGTTAAGGTATAAGTACATAATTTCTGATGGGGATTCTTCAACTTTTAATTCGATTCAAAATATGTATGGGGACGCAGGGGAAGTTAAGAAATATGATTGTATAGGGCACGTAGGGAAGAGAATGTTTAATGCGTTAGATAAGTTTCGTATGGATGGGGATCATTCGGCAAGTGAAAAGAAGTTAATGAGGAAAGGTAACGGTCATTTATGGGGTAGTTCAGATACTGGGACTGTAGGTATGATGAGTAGGGAATATAGAAATACAATTAAAGAGTGTCAAAATCGTAATGTGATAAGGGATGAAGAAAAAAGAGTAAGGGTTGTAGAGTATATGCAACGGAGGGTATTGGCTATTCTTTATCATTCATGTAAAAGTGATGATAATGAAGCTCGCCACCAGTACTGTCCAGACAATGGGTTTTGTGAGTACAGAAACAAAGGCACAATGAGTGACGAGGACCACCATCTAGATGGTCGGTTCCTCGAACTTCTCAAGCCTGTCTTTGAGCGACTTAGTAACAAAGATCTCATCGAGAGATGTGTCCCAGGTTACACCCAAAACCAGAACGAGAGTTTCCATTCTCTTATCTGGAAACGGTGCCCTAAACACCTGTGGAGAGGTCCACGAATGGTTGCCCTTGCTACCAACATGGCAGCTCTGGCATTCAATTGTGGCGCTGTGAAAGGTCGCAACAGAATACTTGTACGAATGAACCTAGAAATGGGAGCTCACGCATTGTCAGTTGCAAGTAAAAAAGATAAAAGTAGATTGTGTAATGCAGAATTAAAGGCTAGGGTGGTAACTAAAAGGAAAAGGGAAGTAGAGAGAAGGGCTAAAAAGAGGGCAGAAGAAGGGTATGTTGAGGAGGAGGGGGTGACTTATGAGGCGGGTGCGTTTTGATTTTATATATTTTGTGTATGTATATTATGTTTCCTGGTGTAAATATTAATTGATCTATATATATTATTCTAATTTATGTGCCACTTATTTGATTTCCAATTGATTGTTTTTATGTACATACATGTACATGTATATACAGTATTTATCATTTTTATTTTGATAAGACCAGCCACACTGCCACGTCCTTCGCTCTACATGTACATATCTCCAGCTGGGTCTCCGAAACACATCACGCATCAACGCTAACCGAAGGGATCCAGCTTCTTTTGTAGTTTATTAGTTATTAATTTTTAATTAATTTGACTCCTTTTCATGTATTTTTTTTGGAAACATTCATGTATATATTTTGAATGTAATGTAAATAATTGAAATTTGAATTAAATTATATGTATTAGCATGCATCCATGTCTTCATTATTAGCCATAAAACTCCATTTGTTTATGAAGCTTTTAATGGCATGTATGATAAATTCCATGGGATCCATATATTTGTATTCTATATTCTGACTTTAAATGTGCTTTATATGTTCAATGTCAGTATAACTGTAGCTTATCTGTTCCGGATGGCTTTCGCCATTCCACTTACCCCTTTTCCCCTTTAGTAACTATTTGTAGATTAAGAAAGTACAGTTGTACTAATTTGTCTAATTTTTAAAAACTGTTTAGTATATTTATCTAAACTTTTCCAATTTCCATAGATTTAACACAGTTTAACAGGTTGCAACCTTTTCACTGTTTTTTATTCTATTTCCTTCAGAAGATAGTTTGAGGCATATTTACAAAAAGAGGTGACTTGAATCACATGTAATTGTATTTATTACATATTGCTATATTCATATCTTTATGAGTGACACATATATGACTGCTGAATCGGATTATTATGAATTGAAGAATTTACCTCAGTGCAAATCTTCATATTTTTTTCAGTATTGCATGCTAATGTTAGAAGTTTGAAAAAGAATATTGATAAATTACATTCATGTCTATTAAATGTCAAACCTTCTTTTTCAGTAATAGGAATTACAGAAACATGGATAAAAGAAAATGAGAAACTCTTGCCAATCCATAAATTGGATGGATATAATTTTGTCGGTAGAGGTAAAAGTGATTGCTCAGGTGGTGGAGTTGGTATATTTATAAATGAATCATTGAAATATAAAATACGTGAAGACTTAAAATTCTTTGTAAGTGAAGTAGAAGGAATGTTTGTTGAGCTTTTTTTTAACAGGAAGAGTGTCATAGTTGGCGTAATTTACAGACCACCAGGTCAGGCAGTTCTTGCATTCAAGGAATATTCTGAACCAATCCTCTAAAGTTATTAGTGATCACAAACTTTGCTATACATATAATGGGAGATTTTGATATAAATCATTTTGTTGGAGAAGAGATGGAGCCTAATGATTTTGTACAATTTATGAACTCCTATTCTTTTTCTCCTTTAATATCTAAGGCCAACTCGAACCACTATAAAAACCTCAACTTTGTTGGATGATATTTTTGTTAACAGCACATGCGATGATTATTTGTCTGGAATTATTACATACCCTGTAGGTGACCACATGCCTATATTTTGTATTTCTAATGTTATTATGAATTCAAACCAAAATGTAAGGTCTGTTCGAAGTGTGAGGCATATTAATGAAGAAAATATAATATTATTCTGTACTGAATTGAGTATGGTGAACTGGGAATTCATTTTGAAAAATTCAACTACTGATGTTAACCAGTTATACAATATATTTGGTTTTTTGGCTCTATTTAAGATCATTGCTTTCCAAAAAAAAAACCTATAGATAATCGAAAAGAAATACGTAACCCATGGTATGATCATTCTTTAAAAAAGCTTTGTACCACAAATTTATAAAGAATCCCACCATTACAGAGAAGATGTTTACAAGAAACAAAGGAAAATTGTAAATAATGCGATTAGGAGTGCAAAACGTGAATATTATCGAAAGAAATTTGATGGTAAAAGAAATGATTTGAAAGGAACATGGCGTGTTATAAACATTAAACAATATTTTAAAACAACAAAAGAAAATTGACTGTCCAACTCTTTTAAAAGATGGACAAAATATTGAGGAACCATCAGAAGTGTTGCGACTTTTTAACGAATATTTTATTTCTGTTGGTGAGGATGTTGTAAACAATATGCCTAATACTTTAACTCCACATTATTGACACTCACTGGAGGTATTCGCAAGGGTCAATTTTAGGCCCATTAATTTTTCTATTATATGGAAAACCATGGCGCTTCTTTAACAAAAATTGTATCGTAAATGAATTGTAACTACATGTACGGGCAACAAAGGTCCAACATCATGTATTCACTGAGCTCTTTGTTATAAGATCCAGAAATGTGAAGCATATTTTATACACATTATGTCATTATAATTTATGATGCATGGTAATTGTAGACAATATGAAATTGAGGGGCACATGCACATTTTTAAATACTTATCCATATTTATGTACATTGTTTTCTATTGTTAATTTTTTTTTTTTTTTTAATCTTTTGTATTTTCAGTGTCAAAAAAACCATTGGAAGCAGAATTTCTATGTAATGTTTGCATGCATGGACCAATAAAATAATCTATTCTTGAGTCTTGAATCTTGAATAAAACTGAAGTTAAAATACTGCAGTTTACCATTCATATCTGAACAAGGCTTTATAAAACATCTAAAATGAGTATTCATAGGTTCACTACATCATCCTTTACTTCAGAAGTCATGTCTATCATTGGCTAACACAGAAAAACACCATAATGCAAACAAGCAAACAATCATGTACAGGTGTATATATCTTTGAAGAATATAAAACATGTATCCCTATATATAATGTACATACTGCGTTCAACAGCTCTATATGGTTTGCTCTTAAATTCCTTGCTATTTTTACCGTTTTACCCCCCCCCCCCCCACTCCGTGAACGGAGGGATACCATCATGCGTGTTACCAAAATGTCCGGTAAAGGGGTACTTTTCATGCACCAAAGTCCGGCTTGTAGTACACAAAAATCCGGCCCGTATTGACTTTACACAAGGAGGGAACATGCATATGCGTACCCTAAATAAAACTGAGTGGGGGGGGGGCAGGGTTTTACCGGCTAATTCTGTATAATTACATTTGGAACTTCACATGAGAGAATTTTGTCGGAAACATTCATGGAAATATGTCGGCTTCTAAAAACTCCGATGACAGCGGAGCCCCAGTAACTCGGTCCTAAAGTTACAGGGGGCAAAGTCAACGAACTGAAGCCATGGAAACAGCAACAATTGATGGGAGACAACAGCTTCGATCTAGCTATTGAATCCAAGATTAAAACCGCATTATGTTCCCCCGAAGTCCTAAATGCCCTCGTCGCTGCAGTGAAAGAAGCTATCATCGGGAAAGTTACCAAACAAGTGTACGCTGCACTGAAAATGGACATGGAGTCCAAAGAAGAAGAGACAAAGTTGGAGAAAAGGAAAATCGACAAACTCGAGGGGAAAATCAACAGACTACATGAAAAACTGGATGAGCATGAGCAATACAGCCGACGAAATTGCCTGAGGTTCTATAGCATCAAGGAGACCCAGGGAGAAAACACTGACAAGCTGGTGTGTGACTTAGCTTGAGACCGTCTCAACATCAAGCTTTCTCCTGGCGACATCGACCGCAGCCATCGGATCACGCCGAGGAACCAGAACCACAATGGCAGCACAAAGGAGAAGAGCGTCATTGTGAAGTTTTCTACCTACAACATGAGACAGAAGGTGTACGAGGCAAGGTCTAAGCTGAAAGGGACGTCGATCTTCATCAACGAGGACCTGACAGGCGAGCGGCAACAGCTGCTATACGCGGCCAGGAAGTCCAGCGCCATCGCTTGGACCTGGACTCAAGATGGGATTTTTTTTTTTTTTTTATAGCAGGTGGTTTTTATAGACAGGTGGTCCCTAAAGCAGTTTTCACTGTACCTACATTTGCAATCATGGTATAAATGGGGACGGCAACATTTAGAATAAATTGCCACAACCTTTAAGAAATATCATTCAGTTGGTTCAATTCAAATCTGAGCTGAATACACAATTCTTTTAAATGTGTAATCTAACTTTTTGTGACATTAATAAAGTGCTGTTCTAACATGGATAGAGATCATGTTGATATGATGCGTTTACTTAGCAATGTACTATTATTATTTTTACTATTAAATCTCTCCTTACCTCTACAACCTTCTGCTTGAACCATGTCGCAACTAAAGCAACCCCGTCGTTGGGAAGGAACGCCCATAGAACCGTCAAGACAACAATCATGAATAGATCAAAGAATTCAAAGAAACTTGCCATCTCTGCCTGAAATATCAAAATAGAATAATTTCACTGATTACTAAATATGATTCAATAATTTGTCATAAACTTTTTAAAATTATTTTACTTGTCATTTACAAAATAATGAATTAATAAATTGAAGAATAAAGGAATCTGTACGATTAAATTACACTTATCAACAAAAGGCTGGTTAAGATTTTCCACAAAACGTTCCCAGTGCAGATAGTGAGTGAGCTAGGGTGGAGGTATACATACATGATGTAAAGATGAAAGTCTAAGAGAGAGAAAGTGTGAGAGACAGCCACAAGGAGTCAGAAACAGATCATTCAAGAAGACAACTGTGGTACAGACTCCAAGCCAATGATAACTATTGTAGCTTACTGAATGATTGAGGACGACATGTGCCATTTCATGAGCTAAGACTGTTCCTAGTTGCTCTATGTTATCTGTGGCTTGTAGGATCCCAGTAAACACAAATATGTGACCATTCTGTGGAAATAAAAATTGAAGAACATGTTTATAATTCATAAATTGACAAATCAAGGATGGATAATTGATGATTCATTTGCAACAATGCAAGCTGATGATTGTTTGTAAAATACGAAACTGATGGATCACTTTTTACTTCTACATAAAAGCTCAAAATTTAAGAGCAAGTATTATCTTGGGTAGGGGTACGCCTGACCCTGTCCATGCTGTAAGCTTTATGAACAATAAACTATCAAGACTCAAATAATCTTAATCTTTGTCCCATTTAATAATTAGGCACGAAACATCTTGAAAGGAAACACACTTGATAATGTTTGCATTCTACTAATATGAAGAAAAAAAAACCTCTCCTTTAAATTTCCAACAAATAGGACAATTATCAGTGAGCTTATTCTTGAGAAGGACTTGAACTCATGACAACCATTCATGTACTTACAACATAAGACAGGAACTAAGGGTAAATCAAGTCAGTTGGCTTGTAAGAGGGGTCCAATTTCCCTCTATTTCAAGCAAGCTAAACTTGTAATGCACTGTGAGCGGATGGCTTGGTAGCTAGTGGTAGAGCAGTGGTCTAATAAATCGGGAGGCCCCAGGTTCAAAACCAAATCGATTCTCTTTTTAAGGCAATTTCCATGTTACCAAGTCTCTCAGAGAGAAGGAAAAATTGTCAGTCCCCTGAATGTTTATTTATACGTACAAGCGCACACATGCTTTCTTCGAAGTCAGGTAACCAAACCATTAAAGATGTTCATGAGTGGGTATATAGTCGTTAGTGAAGTTGGCGACTTGGCGAACACTATATAACACTGAGCCAATGGGTATTACGCTCCCATGCGTGCGTACATCCGTGTGCTGCCCTCTATATACCCACGCATGAGCAACTTCAAACTACCGGTAAACCAAAATACTCACTGGAAGAACAAAGGCATTCTTGATGTTTTGGTCCACTACGTGAATGGTCCAGGTCTGGTTGCGTATCTGAGACACGTCCTGGTTAGCTTTGATCAGCTGCATTACAATCCCTGAGATTATACCATAGATCTTATGGTCCGTCGGTACAAAGCTATCCTTATATGTCTCACAATGCTAGAAGAATAGGATGGAATAATCAATCAAAACATAGATCTTATGATTTGTTGTACAAAAATAAAAAAATTTATGTCTTAATATAAAATCATAAAGCTTTTCAAAAAAAAGATTACCATAGTTGTTTCAAGTTTTTTATCTACGTCAATTTGCCATGAATTTTTCTCACAGTTATATGAAATCATAAAGCTTAAAAGAATAAAAGACACAAAACCGTTTCTAAATTTCAGCCTACTCCACAACTCTAAACTGTATATAAAATGATTTTTAAAAAAGTACTGGATGTTCATTTGAATCCAATGACCACATCAGTAACTGTTTTAAAACATCATTATTGACAGAATAAATGCTAAAAGTAATAGGCCTATTCATTATAAAAGAGACAAACAAATTGACATACCATTTTGTATTCCTCTTCTACTATCTTCTCAAACTGAGTTTTGTTGAAGAGAATGAACCTAGGTCTGTTGGTCAATGGTGTGTATTCTATATGATAGTAGTAATAACCAATTCCAAAGCCAAGCATTCCCAGTATACCAGCGATGATCTTGCCTCTGTTATCATGTAATCTCTCACTTGCTGTTTTGTGCTTGTGCTTGGGATGGTCTCTCCATCGATTCCTCAAAGTCCTTCAAGAAGAACACAGTGATAGGAGGTTTCAGATTAAAGGCAATATTCCTAGATTTAGAAGTTGTATGATAATAAAGTTTTTTATTTGTATACAGAGTTGTCTTTAAGGCTCATGTTTATTGATGTATCGAAAGTAAATTATGTAAAGAAGACACAGACTCCATCCCTTATAATGAAACTATGCTGGGGATATAACACCATATTATTACTATCAATTCAAATCAGAGTATATCCAATCCACAACTACATATAGCATGCCCACAATCAAAAATACTATTGGTGTATTCAACCACAGAGTGAATCCTTCATTGCATCCCTAATATACACACACAAAATAGTGTACTTATTTTCCTAAGATTAATTTTGTTTGGACAATGAACATTGTACTGTACCTTCCAGTGATTATTGCAGCAGTCTTGGCTAATGTTTTGGCAGCCAGCCAAACAGCAACAGGAACAGCTGGTCTACTCTGTGATGTGTGAAATATTCTATGGTGGATCAAATGAAGTTTCTCATTAGACTCCAATGATTGATTTGTACATGACGTAGTCCTTGCTTTCTTCCAGACTGAGAGATTTGTTTGAGTGAGTGTGCCTGCACACGGATGCATCACAAACGACCTATGAGACGCTGATGATACGTGAGGGTTTATCCTTGAAAGGAGACTACAGTGAAGCACTCTGCTGAACGGGAAACCCCCTCTGTGACACAATCCTGCTATATACTGTGCCATCATCTAAAGTGAAACAAGATACAAAACACAAGGAAAAATAGAGACACACCATGAATCATTACAGTCAGATTAAAGAATGATTTTGGTTCCTGAGACATAGCTCTTCTTCTGCCCTAGGGACATTCACTCATGTGCATGGAACCAAACCTGTGTTGGACTGTATCACAATTCACTGCTGCACGCCACTAGTTAAAAATCAACAAAAGCAGGGTTAATTTGCTTAATATTAACAACTAAAATATTCTTATTCTTAGAAACCAAGTTTTATAACTTTTTTAAGTATGTGATAATTATTTTGTCCCGATTTATGTTTCTTGACAAAAGTGACATATTAACATTGCCTCAGATTCAGAAAAAAAATCTTGGATTTAGCCCATGCTGCAACCATAATTATAAACTTTTAGGTCAGTCAGGAATCCCATGACTTTTACAAGCATATCGCCTGTCTGATTATCAAGAAAACGATGTGATCACAAGCTATTTTTGCATACCGGTACATAATGAGCCCTGTGACCTTTGAACTTTGACCTCGTAACCCCAAAATCTAATCCGCCCATTGGCTTTACAAGATACATACATGACCCAAGTTTGGCAATAATCCATTGATTTGTTTTTGAGAAAACGCGATCACAAGCTATTTTTGCATTTGTCAACCGTCCCTAAACCTAACCCTGTAAGTTGGGGTATTGATCGGAAGATCAAAGCAATTCCCTTGTACCTTGGATCGATATCGGCAAAATTTATCGGCAAAAAAAAAAGTTTGATTCTCAACATTTCAAACACCACTGTATAAAATTGGTACTTTAGTGACAACCGATGACACCTAAAGTAAATAGCAGTAAAATACAATCTTTTCAACTTTTACTGATGTTAGAAAAAAAATTGTTGAAAATCAAATCATGAGTCTACAGTCAAACTTGCCAGTCAAGCAGATTTCAGCCACTTCCTATTCATTGTGTGCATTTTTTTGGTCGCTGCGCACGCGCTGAATCTCCATGTAAAATTGCATAGGCCTCGATCTACACAAATTTTGTTGTAATGCGTAACGAGACATTACGGAAGAAAACCAGCAGCGGTTTCTTCAGACAGTTTTTCTAGTAAAATTCTCTATGATTTTGAGCTGTGAATCAGCTGGAAAAAACACATTTACAGAGCTGAATCATTAGTCATTTAAGTGTGTACAAAATTGATGGCTCTCATCTCAGTCACACATACCTGCATTACTATCCTGGCTGTAGCTGTGTATCAAAAGCTGTGCTAACGATTCTCAACAAAGGAGTTCAGAGATATCGCGATCTAAAAATTTGATGTCCGATCGTGCGTGCGCGCTGCATCTAAAAAAGTCATAAAAACAACGAGACCTAACTTCACGCATGGGTAGGCAAATTCATGCAAAAAAATATATTTAAAAAATTGACTTGAAAACACATCACACAATTAGTCTGAACCGAGTCAGGAGCAAATTTGAAGAAATTATATTTTTAAATGTTGTAAAACCAAAGATATAAGAAGAAAACTGACCAAGTATCTGTACTAAAAATCGTACATGTAAAATTGGTCGTACACATTCGACAGCTGAATATGACGCGCACGGTTGCATTACATGCGTTCTCGAATCCAAAATCGTACCTCACACACACACTCTCGCCATACCGCGAATGGTCCGTCGTGGGGAGCTAGCCGGCAGAGAGTTTGCAGCGATACCAACGCAGCTTCGGAGCTCCGCAGCGCGCCATTTTAGCGGGACTCGGAAAGGTTTGCGATGGGAAGGCAGCGGCCTAGCTTTTTGCCCAAACAACGCTAGATCGGCTGCTGGCAAAATGAAAATAACTACGATCGAGAACATCGTCGGTTTCTTAACTTTTCAGTGAGATAATTCTGAATTCTAATTGAGACTATATAATAAATTAAATCGACAAAGAAACCTCGGTAGAACTCTTATAACTATACAAAAGCTTGTTTATTTCTTCATTTGACATTTTGTTTTCGACCATTTTTTCGTGCGCGAGTCAATGTAAACTATGTACGACCGCCAGCTAGCTGACGACCGCCAGCTAGCTGACGACCCGCCCCCCCGAAAAAAGACCCCCCCGAAAAAAAGACCCCCCCCCCAAAAAAAAAAAGACCCCCCCAAAACCCCCCCCCCAAAAAAAAAGACCCCAAAGGGGCTCCATTACAGTTTTTTTCCTACACTCAGCTGCCCCCCCTCACCATAGGCCCTTTTTCAAGTTTTTTTTGAGGAATCCATTGACATATTGTGATTTGGAACCCTTTCCCATACATCAACAACACCAACAATAATTATTTTATCACACCAAACTTTGAGTGAGATGAAAATGGGTTCTAACATCAGTTTTTCTTTTTCAAAGATTTATAAAAAAAAATAAAAAAAAGCATTAGCTGGGAGTCGAACCCGATACCTTCCAGTTGCCAGGCGTTTGCCTATCCACTAGACTAATGTGTCACACTAGTAATCTTCATTTATTTTTTCATATTGATACTTATTGTTGTAGATGTAGCAAAAGACGTATTCTAACTAATTCAGAGAGTCGCTTGTTAAAGAAAGAGTATCAAATGTTATTTTCTCCTTTGTTGAGGAGGTGGGGGGGGGGGGTGTCCCCTTTAAAAAAAGGAGATGGACACGTCAATATCATGGGGTAAAGAAAAAAAATAAAAAAAATAACATGAGGTATAAAGAAGAAGCTGGGAGTCGAACCCGAGTACATACATACATTGCGTTGTGAAGCGATCAGTCTTATCCACAAGACCACTTTGCCTCACTGCTACTAACTGGTTCACTTCTTGGTCTTATAGCACTTTCTGCATGTTAACGACTTTAATATGTTGATTTACTGATTTAACGATTTCGGGATGCATAATTATTCATATTTTTGCAGTCCGATGTTGTCAAGATTGCCCGTAAATATTTTCTTTCAGTTACTGATATTTCTGATATAATAGTGAGGTTTTCTGTTATTTTCATTTATTTTGCAATCTGCTGACTTGAACTTCAAGTGATATGACAATAGGCCACTGCCCTGACATAGCATAATGAACAGAACACGGATCTATTCAATTTAGGATATGCTACGAATTCTGTAACAGGGCACCAATGAATAGGGAAGCTTGGCTATTCGATTATGTGTTCAATAGCTTGCACCTGCAGCATCAATTAATGAATTGAAGAAAAAAAACCCGACCCTCCCTTCATTGACGGAATATTTTTGTCAATTGCGAGGATTACATAAGAGGTAATACTAGCATTCCTGACATTGCAACAATGATCGCATTATTTTGATGACGTAATGGTATCGAAATATAAGAAAGGAAAACAACTTCAGTTCAAGACAGTTCAAAATAATGCTGGGAAATGGAAATTAAAATGATACCGTTTTAAAAACCAGCTAGATATGGTTTTTGGACAAGAAGCATGAGATAATTCATTGCTCGGCAATCTGAACTGTATTTGAAACAGAGCATCCAATATTCCTGATATTTAATAGTATACTGTCAATGAAAAAATATAACTAAAAAAATTAATAATATTGGACCTCTTTACCCAAGGCTGTGTGTCTTTGTCGAGCACAAAATGATTCTGCTCGGGTATGCAGGCCAGTTGTTAGCCCATATTGGGCTTGAATAGACTTGAATTGAAAGACCCTTTGTTTCACCTCGCGAAGTTTGGGCGCTTTCATATGAGAAGTAAAACCTTGCCCATCATTGAATTCATGTAACTGATCTCCCCTACCTTTCTTCTTCCTCTTCCCCCCCCCCCCTATACTTCTCTCACCCTCTCTCATTTAAGTTTGGTGAGGGAGGCAGGGGCGTTTCACCCCTCCCCCGATCCACACGATGTTGATGGGATTAATCGCAACTGATCTCTGCTTCTTTTCACCCTTTTCTTTTTCTACCTCTTTTGTGTTCCATTTTAGCTCTCCTCTTTCCCTTTCCCTTCTTTCTCTCTTTTTTTTTTTTTTTTTTTGGCGAGAAGGGGGGGGGGGGGTTGGTCTGGGGCGCAGAGGCAAAGGCCTTTCTCCGCGATCTTGGGGGGGGGGGGGGTAGTGAGCACCTTTTTTTTTTTGGCCCTCGAAATTTTAACAATTTGCACCACCCCCCCCCCATCCCCCCTACTAGATCCGCCACTGCCTGTAGTTTCATCCCTAGCTAGCTGGTTAAGCTGAATATGGGTTATCCAATCGTTTCATTCATTAAGTATAATTATACTTGTATCAGGGATATGAGAGTACATCCCTGTTTGTTTTGACTATGTATACGTGTGGACTAGAGTACGGACATTGGTGCGGCAGGAGGACTATTGGTGCGAGACCTCTTCAGCACAGATTGTCCGTCAGACATTTGAGGCGCGCACGGAATGTCCGACACGGACATTCTGCGCGGATAAAATCCGCACCGATCGTCCGCTCTCGATCGATTTTTAATAGTCGGACGATCGGTGCGGGTTACATTCTACGCGGTCACACCGGCGAGGGAGCAAGAAAGACACGGCGAGAAGCATCTAAAGAGAATGAGAAAGAAAAAAAAAATCTCTTTTTCTTTTTTCTTTTATCTTTTTGACGACACCGTAATTTATCGCTGAACTTGTGGTCGCCAGATTCAAGGAGCGATGTACATCGTTATCGGCTCTCAATCAAAGATTTTCAGACCCTTATCGGTAAGTTGATAATTTTTCGGAACGGACGCAAAAAGATTGCAAAATTTGCTGATCTTTTGTCAATATTTTCACACTTTCGTACCCAATTCCAGAGAAAATTTCATCTGAACTTTGGTCACATCACCATACAACTACAATTGACAAGCAGATCTAGATCTAGTAGATCTAGGCCTAAAGTACAACTGTACAAGTCGCTAGACTAGCTAGATTTATTCTAGATAGCAGTGACTACTTTCCACAACATATTTTCTCATACCTGGGACTGTTGACCAACTTTGTAGGGTTTGCAGAGCTCTAGAGTAGCGGTAGGACGGTAGTAATGTCACAAACGTGCATACAATTTTACATAGATCTAGCTCTACATATTTATGAAACGAAACTTATTGTTTTAACCCATGTTGTTATTCGAATATCAGTATAAATATAATAATAAAACTTACTGCCGATAACGATGTACATCGCTCCTTGAATCGGGTGGATCTGGCGACCACAAGTTCAGCGATAAATTACGGTGTCGTCAAAAAGATAAAAGAAAAAAGAAAAAGAGATTTTTTTTTTTCTTTCTCATTCTCTTTAGATGCTTCTCGCCGTGTCTTTCTTGCTCCCTCGCCGGTGTGACCGCGTAGAATGTAACCCGCACCGATCGTCCGACTATTAAAAATCGATCGAGAGCGGACGATCGGTGCGGATTTTATCCGCGCAGAATGTCCGTGTCGGACATTCCGTGCGCGCCTCAAATGTCTGACGGACAATCTGTGCTGAAGAGGTCTCGCACCAATAGTCCTCCTGCCGCACCAATGTCCGTACTCTAGTCCACACGTATACATAGTCAAAACAAACAGGGATGTACTCTCATATCCCTGATACAAGTATAATTATACTTAATGAATGAAACGATTGGATAACCCATATTCAGCTTAACCAGCTAGCTAGGGATGAAACTACAGGCAGTGGCGGATCTAGTAGGGGGGATGGGGGGGGGGGGGTGGTGCAAATTGTTAAAATTTCGAGGGCCAAAAAAAAAAAGGTGCTCACTACCCCCCCCCCCCCCCCCAAGATCGCGGAGAAAGGCCTTTGCCTCTGCGCCCCAGACCAACCCCCCCCCCCCCCCCTTCTCGCCAAAAAAAAAAAAAAAAAAAAGAGAGAAAGAAGGGAAAGGGAAAGAGGAGAGCTAAAATGGAACACAAAAGAGGTAGAAAAAGAAAAGGGTGAAAAGAAGCAGAGATCAGTTGCGATTAATCCCATCAACATCGTGTGGATCGGGGGAGGGGGCGAAACGCCCCTGCCTCCCTCACCAAACTTAAATGAGAGAGGGTGAGAGAAGTATAGGGGGGGGAAGAGGAAGAAGAAAGGTAGGGGAGATCAGTTACATGAATTCAATGATGGGCAAGGTTTTACTTCTCATATGAAAGCGCCCAAACTTCGCGAGGTGAAACAAAGGGTCTTTCAATTCAAGTCTATTCAAGCCCAATATGGGCTAACAACTGGCCTGCATACCCGAGCAGAATCATTTTGTGCTCGACAAAGACACACAGCCTTGGGTAAAGAGGTCCAATATTATTAATTTTTTTAGTTATATTATTTCATTGACAGTATACTATTAAATATCAGGAATATTGGATGCTCTGTTTCAAATACAGTTCAGATTGCCGAGCAATGAATTATCTCATGCTTCTTGTCCAAAAACCATATCTAGCTGGTTTTTAAAACGGTATCATTTTAATTTCCATTTCCCAGCATTATTTTGAACTGTCTTGAACTGAAGTTGTTTTCCTTTCTTATATTTCGATACCATTACGTCATCAAAATAATGCGGTCATTGTTGCAATGTCAGGAATGCTAGTATTACCTCTTATGTAATCCTCGCAATTGACAAAAATATTCCGTCAATGAAGGGAGGGTCGGGTTTTTTTTCTTCAATTCATTAATTGATGCTGCAGGTGCAAGCTATTGAACACATAATCGAATAGCCAAGCTTCCCTATTCATTGGTGCCCTGTTACAGAATTCGTAGCATATCCTAAATTGAATAGATCCGTGTTCTGTTCATTATGCTATGTCAGGGCAGTGGCCTATTGTCATATCACTTGAAGTTCAAGTCAGCAGATTGCAAAATAAATGAAAATAACAGAAAACCTCACTATTATATCAGAAATATCAGTAACTGAAAGAAAATATTTACGGGCAATCTTGACAACATCGGACTGCAAAAATATGAATAATTATGCATCCCGAAATCGTTAAATCAGTAAATCAACATATTAAAGTCGTTAACATGCAGAAAGTGCTATAAGACCAAGAAGTGAACCAGTTAGTAGCAGTGAGGCAAAGTGGTCTTGTGGATAAGACTGATCGCTTCACAACGCAATGTATGTATGTACTCGGGTTCGACTCCCAGCTTCTTCTTTATACCTCATGTTATTTTTTTTATTTTTTTTCTTTACCCCATGATATTGACGTGTCCATCTCCTTTTTTTAAAGGGGACACCCCCCCCCCACCTCCTCAACAAAGGAGAAAATAACATTTGATACTCTTTCTTTAACAAGCGACTCTCTGAATTAGTTAGAATACGTCTTTTGCTACATCTACAACAATAAGTATCAATATGAAAAATTAAATGAAGATTCCTAGTGTGACACATTAGTCTAGTGGATAGGCAAACGCCTGGCAACTGGAAGGTATCGGGTTCGACTCCCAGCTAATGCTTTTTTTTAATTTTTTTTTTATAAATCTTTGAAAAAGAAAAACTGATGTTAGAACCCATTTTCATCTCACTCAAAGTTTGGTGTGATAAAATAATTATTGTTGGTGTTGTTGATGTATGGGAAAGGGTTCCAAATCACAATATGTCAATGGATTCCTCAAAAAAAACTTGAAAAAGGGCCTATGGTGAGGGGGGGCAGCTGAGTGTAGGAAAAAACTGTAATGGAGCCCCTTTGGGGTCTTTTTTTTGGGGGGGGGGGGTTTTGGGGGGGTCTTTTTTTTTTGGGGGGGGTCTTTTTTTCGGGGGGGTCTTTTTTCGGGGGGGCGGGTCGTCAGCTAGCCGGCGGTCGTCAGCGTAGCCGGCGGTCGTCAGCGTAGCCGGCGGTCGTCAGCGTAGCCGGCGGTCGTCAGCGTAGCCGGCGGTCGTCAGCGTAGCCGGCGGTCGTCAGCGTAGCCGGCGGTCGTCAGCGTAGCCGGCGGTCGTCAGCGTAGCCGGTGGCCGGTAGCGTTAGCCCCAAAGCCATGTCCAATTTTTAAACTACATTCAAGAGTCCCTTATTGCCAGGTTAAACAAGTTTTTTACATTTTCAGTACTACTTACATCCATTTATTAAATCTGTACACTCCCATGCTATCCTTTTCCAGTCTGTAAACAACTTTACAACATGAATTCAATGATGGGCAAGGTTTTACTCCTTATATGAAAGCGCCCAAACTTCGCGAGGTGAAACAAAGGGTCTTTCAATTCAAGTCTATTCAAGCTCAATATGGGCTAACAACTGGCCTGCATACCCGAGCAGAATCATTTTGTGCTCGACAAAGACACACAGCCTTGGGTAAAGAGGTCCATTATTATTATTTTTTTTAGTTATATTTTTTCATTGACAGTATACTATTAAATATCAGGAATATTGGATGCTCTGTTTCAAATACAGTTCAGATTGCCGAGCAATGAATTATCTCATGCTTCTTGTCCAAAAACCATATCTAACTGGTTTTTAAAACGGTATCATTTTAATTTCCATTTCCCAGCATTATTTTGAACTGTCCCGAAATCGCTTTCCTTTCTTAAAATGAGACTACAGGCCCCATTCTATCCTTTTTCTATGGGGATATTCAAAGTGCGTGTCCTCCATGCAGACAAGGAGAAAGACCTTCTCAGTACCTTTATGGACAATACATCAACGTAATGCGGTCATTGTTGCAATGTCAGGAATGCTATTATTACCTCTTATGTAATCCTCGCAATTGACAAAAATATTCCGTCAATGAAGGGAGGGTCGGTTTTTTTTTCATCAATTCATTAATTGATGCTGCAGGTGCAAGCTATTGAACACGTAATCGAATAGCCAAGCTTCCCTATTCATTGGTGCCCTGTTACAGAATTCGTAGCATATCCTAAATTGAATAGATCCGTATTCTGTTCATTATGCTATGTCAGGGCAGTGACCTATTGTCATATCACTTGAAGTTCAAGTCAGCAGATTGCAAAATAAATGAAAATAACATAAAACCTCACTATTATATCAGAAATATCAGTAACTGAAAGAAAACATTTACGGGCAATCTTGACAACATCGGACTGCAAAAATATGAATAATTATGCATCCCGAAATCGTTAAATCAGTAAATCAACATATTAAAGTCGTTAACATGCAGAAAGTGCTATAAGACCAAGAAGTGAACCAGTTAGTAGCAGTGAGGCAAAGTGGTCTTGTGGATAAGACTGATCGCTTCACAACGCAATGTATGTATGTACTCGGGTTCGACTCCCAGCTTCTTCTTTATACCTCATGTTATTTTTTTATTTTTTTTCTTTACCCCATGATATTGACGTGTCCATCTCCCTTTTTTAAAGGGGACACCCCCCCCCCACCTCCTCAACAAAGGAGAAAATAACATTTGATACTCTTTCTTTAACAAGCGACTCTCTGAATTAGTTAGAATACGTCTTTTGCTACATCTACAACAATAAGTATCAATATGAAAAAATAAATGAAGATTACTAGTGTGACACATTAGTCTAGTGGATAGGCAAACGCCTGGCAACTGGAAGGTATCGGGTTCGACTCCCAGCTAATGCTTTTTTTTTTTTTTTTTTATAAATCTTTGAAAAAGAAAAACTGATGTTAGAACCCATTTTCATCTCACTCAAAGTTTGGTGTGATAAAATAATTATTGTTGGTGTTGTTGATGTATGGGAAAGGGTTCCAAATCACAATATGTCAATGGATTCCTAAAAAAAACTTGAAAAAGGGCCTATGGTGAGGGGGGGCAGCTGAGTGTAGGAAAAAACTGTAATGGAGCCCCTTTGGGGTCTTTTTTTTTTGGGGGGGGGGGGGGGGGTCTTTTTTTTGGGGGGGGGGGGTCTTTTTTTTTGGGGGGGGGTCTTTTTTCGGGGGGGGGTCTTTTTTAGCGGGGGGGCTGGCGGTCGTCAGCTCGTCAGCTAGCTGGCGGTCGTCAGCTAGCTGGCGGTCGTCAGCTAGCTGGCGGTCGTCAGCTAGCTGGCGGTCGTCAGCTAGCTGGCGGTCGTCAGCTAGCTGGCGGTCGTCAGCTAGCTGGCGGTCGTCAGCTAGCTGGCGGTCGTCAGCTAGCTGGCGGTCGTCAGCTAGCTGGCGGTCGTCAGCTAGCTAGCCGGTGGCCGGTAGCGTTAGCCCCAAAGCCATGTCCAATTTTT